GCTGTAGAACCTGCTGTTTAGGGTGTGATACGAGGCATGTGCATGATGCACCTTATTTGCGAGCGGCAAAGAAAAGAAAAGACTCGCAACTCAAGACTAATGGCGTAAGACACACGGCTCAGTTTCCATGACACCCGGTTGCCAAACCCTCCCTCCACGAGCGCTCGCTCGCTGGAGATGACATTGAGGGAAAATCGTGGCTGAATCGAGCGTGGGAGACGGGTGTCTTTCAGGCCATCTTCGAGAAACAGGGTGTAAGGCTGCACGTGTTCCAGCCCAAATGAGCAGTTCATCTCTCTGTCACCCGCAGCACGTGATCATTTATTGTCTGTAGCCATTGAAGAGATGTGAAACACGATGAAAAGGGAAATGGGATGACAGCAGAAAGACTAGTGTGCAGCTGGCGTGATTGAATATCAAAAAGGCATAAAGTTGCGTAAGGCTAACATTATAGGCCTACTCATTGATCGTGCGCTAACTCTATAGAATTTGGTCAATTATTACTTAATGTAAATATAAAGAATAGCCAGTTCACTTCGTTTTTGGCATTTGTTTGGCTCACCAACAAATTATATGTAGCCTAAAGGTGGAACTGAAGACACTTGTTTATTTATTTTATTAAAAGTCCAATGTGCTACGTACTAATGTTTCTCCGGGCAAATCCCCTCAGAGATGATCCATAAGGAATGCATTTTTTTTTTAAATTATTAATTTTTAGGGGAGAATGGGAGATGGTCAAGATTTTAGATTTAAGATATAATATTAATATAATCAAAATATTGCCCTCAAAAATCCCATTTACACATCATCAAAGCACATATATTTCTAAACCACTTCTTCCCTGATAATTCCTAAAATAACATAAGGGCAAACCAACCCAATCTCATGATTGGTGATTTTGTATGTGTACAGTGCGATTTTTAGAAGGGGGGGGGGACTACGGTTCAATCTTTAACCTCAACCCTAAACCTGTGTTGCATGAACAGATAATAACCTACTAAACGGTGCAAATGTAGAGTGTGCACTGTATGAATTTACCAACACATAAAATCATTACGAATTGGCATGAGTTTGTTGGACAAACTGAATCCTGAGCTTCACAAACGTCAAGTATAAGAAAACAGGCCAATCATATGTTCACAGCTGAATTGTGATGGCTGCCTTATAGTGAGCATATCATGACATTCAGCAGGAGACAAATGAGCATGACGTGAGTAATGTTAAACACTGCAAAACAAAGAGAAAATGTGCGTATAATCACCTGAGAACCAAAAGAGTCTATCTGCTGTGTGTGAGTATGCGAGTATTGAGACGCTGAAGGCTGAGCTCATAAGTGACTGGTAGTTTTTCTATGCCCCAGTTTCCTCCTGAGGGGCTTTTAACTGTCATCTTGCTTCATGACCTCGGAGCAGAAACCTGCAGAGACTGACGTTACAATAAAGAGACAACAGTAACCCAACTACCTGCAATACGGCTTTTGTGTCTTTTTTTCCCTCTCACTCCTTCGCTTCGCTTCCTACCTGTTTCTTTCACCAATTATTCTCCACTGGCCTTGACTTTCTCACCCTTGCTCATCTCAATCTCCTTTCTCTTTCACTTCTCATCAACTATCCATCTTCCTTCCTGTCGTATCCTCCTGCTTTTATGTGTCTGCATGTAATGCTATGAAACTTCTGAGAACTTTATCTTTGTGATTTGTTATCACATAAAACAGGTCATGAAGCTTCACATGAAACATGTGGATATGTAACAGTAAGATATGTTTTCTTTTCTTTCTCTCTTTGTCAGCAAAGTGTACTATTTTGCTGCCAAACTTAATGCTCTTGTCAATTGATTCCTCATCCACCCATTGACCCCCATTGCAAGAGAACATTTGTGTGGGACATTTGTTTTTAGTGAAGCTACTTGCACTGTTCACTTTCCTATATGCATACATATATATATATATATATATATATATATATATAAGATATGTTTTCTTTTCTTTCTCTCTTTGTCAGCAAAGTGTACTATTTTGCTGCCAAACTTAATGCTCTTGTCAATTGATTCCTCATCCACCCATTGACCCCCATTGCAAGAGAACATTTGTGTGGGACATTTGTTTTTAGTGAAGCTACTTGCACTGTTCACTTTCCTATATGCATACATATATATATATATATATATATATATATATATATATATATATATATATATATGTGTATATGTA